AGCGACAGAATACAGCCTTGCCAGACTCTTTTCCCAATTTTGAACCAATCAGTGGTTCCGTGTCCAGTTCTCACTGTTGCTTCTTGACCCGCATATAGGTTTCTCAAGAGACAAATAAAATGGTCTGGTACTCCTATCTCTTTAAGAACTTGCCACAATTTATTGTGATCCACACAATCAAAGGCTTTAGCATAGTCAGTGAAGCAGAAGTAGATGTTTTTCTGGAACTCCCTAGCTTTCTCCATGATCCAGCGTATGTTGGCAATTTGATCTCTAGTTCCTCTGCCTCTTCAAAATTCTGCCTGTACTTCTGGAAGTTCTCGATCCACATACTGCTGGAGTCTAGCTTGTAGGATTTTAAGCATAACTTTACTTGCATGTGAAATGAGTGCAATGGTGCAATAGTTTGAACATTCTTTGGCATTGCCTTTCTTTGGAATTGGAATGTAAACTGACCTTTTCCAATCCTGTGGCCACTGTTGAGTTTTCCAAATTTGCTGGCAAATTGATTGTAGCACTTTTACTGCATTGTCTTTTAAGATTTTGAATAGCTCAGCTGGAATACTGTCACCTCCACTAGCTTTGTTGTTGCTCAGCTTTCCTAAGACCCATTTCACTTCACATTCTAGGATGTCTGGCTCGAGGTCAATGACCACCCCTTCATGGTTATCAGGGATGCTAAACTCATTCTTGTATAGTTCTTCTGTGTAATTTTGCCACATTTGTATCTCTTCTGCCTCTGTTAGGTCTCTGCCATTTTGGTCCTTTATCATGCCCATCTTTGCATGAAACGTTCCCTTCATAAGTCCAATTTTCTTGAAGAGATCTCTGGTTCTCCTTATTCTATTGTTTTCTTCTATTTCTCTGCACTGTTCATTTAAGAGGGAATTCTTAGCTCTTCTAGCTATTCTCTGGAATTCTGCATTCAATTGGGTGTATCTTTCTCTTTCTCCCTTGCCTTTCGCTTCCCTTCTTTCCTCAGCTATTTGCAAAGCTTCCTCAGACAGCCATTTTGCTTTCTTGCTTTCTTTTTCTTTGGGATGGTTTTAATTGCTACCTCTTGTACAATGTTGCGAATCTCCGTCCATAGTTCTTCAGGCACTCTGTCTATCAGATCTAATTCCTTAAATCTATTTGTCACCTCTAATGTATATTCATCAGGGATATGATTTAGATCATACCTGAGTGGCTTAGTGTTTTTCCCTACTTTCTTCAATTTAAACCTAAATTTTGCAACGAGAAGCTCATGATCTGAGCCACAGTCAGCTCCTGGTCTTGTTTTTACTGACTGTATAGAGCTTCTCCATCTTTGGCTGCAGAGCACATGGTCAATCTGATTTCTGTGTTGTCTGTCTGGTAATGTCCATGTATAGAGCCGTCTCCTGGGTTGTTGTAAAAGAGTGTTTGCTATGACCATCATATTCTCTTGACAAAATTCTATCAGCCTGTGTCCTGCTTCATTTTGTACTCCAAGGCCAAACTTGCCTGTTATTCCAGTTATCTTCTGGCTTCCTACTTTAGCATTCCAATCCCCCATGATGATAAGGACATCATTTTTTGGTGTTGATTCTATAAGGTGCTGTAGGGCTTCATAGAAGCAGTCAATTTCATCCTCTTCAGCACCAGTGGTTGGGGCATAGACTTGGACTACTGTGATATTGAATGGTTTGCCTTGGATTCGCGCTGAGATCATTCTGTCATTTTGGGGATTGTATCCCAGTATTGCTTTTCCTACTCTTTTATTGACTATGAAGGCTACTCCATTTCTTCTGAGGGATTCTTGCCCGCAGTAGTATACCTGATGGTCATCTGAATTAAATTCACCCATTCCTGTCCATTTTAGTTCACTGATTCCTAAGATGTCGATGTTCAGTCTTGTCATCTCTTGTTTGACCACGTCCAGTTTGCCTTGATTCATGGATCTTACATTCTTGATTCCTGTGGAGAAAAGATCTTTACAGCATCGGACTTTCCTTTCACCACCAGATGCATCCACAGCTGAGCGTCCTTTCGGCTTTGGCCCAGTCGCTTCACTCTTTCTGTTGCTACTAGTACTAGCCCTCTGCTCTTCCCCAGTAGCATATTGGACACCTTTCGACCTGAGGGGCTCATCTTCCAGCGTCTATCTTTTTGCCTTTTGGTGCTGTCCATGGGGTTTTCATGGCAAAGATACTGGAGTGGGTTGCCATTTCCTTCTCCAGTGGATCACATTTTGTCAGAACTCTCTGCTATGACCTGGGTGGCCCTGCACGGCATAGCTCATAGCTTCATTGAGTTACGCAAGCCCCTTCGCCCTGACAAGGCAGTAATCCATGAAGGAGACGTATAGACCTACACCCTTACATATAAGTAACATATAAATATTAATCACTGTCCATCTTGAATATATAATAGAAGGAGGAAGCTTTAGAGTTCACAAGGTTAATACTATATGCAACAAAACTGTGACTGAATCTGGATGTTCTGCTTCGGATATCACAAAGCCTCCTCTCAGAAGGTAACAAAGAAAACAGGTCGTGAAGAGGACATGTAGTGTCCCAGTCAATCTTGCGGACCCTGCTCAAGCAACGCTTGAGATGGAAGGGAGGGAACTGCCAATGATCTTTTCAGCCTTCCTCACCATTCTCTCCACCGCCTTCCTGTCTGAAGCAGTGATGCTTCCAAACCAGACTGTGATGCTGTATGATAGGATGCTCTCAATCGTCCCTCTGTAGAAAGTAGTAAGGATAGGGGAAGGAAGATGTGCTTTTCTCATGCGACGCAGAAAACGCAGGTGCTGCTGTGCCCGCTTCACCAATGGCTTGCTGTTGAGCGACCAAGCCAGCCTACTTGTTAACTGCACACCCAGGAATTTGATGCTGGTAACCATCTCCACAGGTGAATCATTAATGCACAGAGGAGTGTGCTGTGCCTGCGTTTTCTGAAATCGACAATGATCTCTTTGGTTTTTCCAATGTTTAAAACTAGGCTGTTCTCCTTACACCAGTCCACCAAACCCTCAACCTCCTTGTGGTAAGCACCCTCATTGTCATCTTGAGTAAGGTCCACTACTGTTGTATCATCTGCAAACTTCACAATATGATTGGTGGCAAACCTAGCACAACAGTCATTGCTTCAGTTCTCCTTTGGCAAACAAATTTGGCATCCTGATATTTAGTTGATGGTTTTGGTTAGCACTTCTCATCATTTTTTGTCGTAATGATGAGGTTTCATGCAGGTAAAAGTTACCATCTGACATGACAAAAATGTCTAACAATGCCTTCCATTTGATTTATGGTATATTTTGCATTTCTATTTCTGTTCATTTAAGTATTCAAAAGTGAGAACCATTAGACTGAACTGATTGTTTTTAGTGAAAAGTGTACTTATTATTGTCACTGAAATAGTCAATGAACATCTTGTTGTCTTGGAAACAACTGATAACAAGAGTTATTTAAATTTAAACCTACTTGCATGGAGATAAATAAGTCCTCTTGATTTAGGAAATATATAGTACTTGGGAAAATAGCTTTTTCTTCTGTGGTTTTGCTAATATAAGAGGGAAAGACACCATGGTTATTTTCTGGTATGAAAAGCAACAATAGAACCCACTTATCTGCCTGCATAGTTCACCGTTTCAAAAATTTGTCACTGAATATGGGAGGGTCATCTGGCTCTGGTAATTTCACTACAAATAAAGGTCTGGGAGAACTGAGGCTTCTAAAAAGCAAGAAGAGTGTTTCCTAAGTAAAGAGAAACTTTCCTATCTTAACAGTTCTCCCAACCTCCCCCCCCCCCCCCGTTTTCCATGGTTTCAGTAAATGTAGGGTTGAAACCTCAAGCTTGTAGGCAACATGTACTTCTAACTTAAGGAAAGCCAGATATCTTATTTGCAATAATCTTTGACAAGTTGGGCACTTTGAACTATGTTGGTCATTATCTACTGATACAATGCCTGGCTTTCAGCTTTGTGCACCAAGAAAACTCAAAACGTAAGCCTTTCCTAAATTCATCACATCTAATATGGTTAGAGTATAATAATAATAATAACAATAATACTTAACAACAACAACTTAAAATATTCTTCTGGTTTCTATTTTTTAAAGGAAAATATATTTCTTTTGAGGACACATTTAAGGCAGTACTGCAATATTTGCACAAGCTACCTCAGCCACTATAACAAAGAGTTATGTGAAAAGGTAATTGTGGTATCTTTTAAAATTTGTAGCATGCCCTGATTTAATGACATGGTTAAGTTCGCATACCTAAAGAACAATGTCTCCATTCCTAGTTTTGGGGTGTCTCAATCTATATTAAAGTCTTTAGAAAACTGGGAAGATGTCCCATATCAGCGCAGGGGGCTTAGCATAGTTGGGGTGGGATATAATTTATCTTAGAATCAATATTCAACCAGATAATTCTGCAGCAAAAACAGTCTAGAGAAAACCAGATGATTAAGAGATAATCCAGAAGGCACTCAAAAATGCATACAAAGATAACAAATCAAGTCATAATCCAAGAAGTCAGTCTGAGGGCTAAAGATAATTGGAGTCAGCTGGGTTAGGAACATCAAGATGACAGATGACAGATTTTGCAAAATTTCCATCTCTAGTGCAACTGATATGTCCATAATTTAAATAAGAATACAGGTCTACTCAGGAGGACAGTAATTTCTGAATAGGCCATTATTCCCAAAGAACTTTATGAAACTTCTAAGGAGATCTCATATCCACAAAGCTCAACTGTTTTGTAATTGTTGGGCTGAACCATTAATTCATTGGCTTTTAAAGCCTCTCCTAACTTCTTGCTTTTAACTGAAAAACCATAATGGTGGTTATAAAGTGAAGAATTGTAGGAAATATCAGTACTTTTTTAAACAGCAGTATCTTTATAAAACGTTCTGTGATATGTATTTTGATTAGAGTACTCATTGTCTTTGATTATAGATATTTATGCAAATTTGTAGTAAGTTTAATATATATTCATACAAATAATATGCATTGCGTAAAAAACCAGTGATTCCTATAATTTCAATTTCAATTTCAGTTTAGAATTAGTTCACTTTGCATGTTAATTGAAAAAGGAAGGCAGAATAATATAATGACAAGTATTTTAAAAAAATGTCTAAGTCATTTTTGTTGTTTGTACCTATAGGCTTTTATGATACTGTGTGATCTGCTGTTAATTCTAAATCATCAGGATTCAAGCAGTAATGGTGCTGCTGGGTTACTGGAATACCTTCCCAGTACATCTCTTCAGACAAAAATGCTCTTATTTATTCGAGATCATATTTTTGGAGAGGAAGAAGAAGCAACCAAAGGTCAGCAATATTTTTCAGGAAATGCATTTTGCTGCTGATACTTGCTTCTTTGACTTTGTATTCCATCATTCAGGATAAGCAGAGCAGTTGCTCAGACATTACCCCTGAATTGTATCTGAAGAGGGATGAGAGGGAAGAAAGGAGAGGAGAGAGAAAAGAGTAAAGGAGGGGGGAAGGAAGTAGGAAGGTTGGGGGAGAAGAGAAGAAGTGGGGAGAAAGGGGAGGAGAGTGGTGAAGGAAAGAGGAGAGGAGAGGAAGAAGAGGGAAGTAGGGAACAAAGAGAAGAAAGGGAGAAAGAAGGTAGAGAAGAAGGAGTGTGGATACAGTGAAAGGGGAAATGGGCGAGCAACACCAAAAGTCATGTGTATGTATTTATTTCATTTTATTAAAAGTATCTTATATATAAGAATGTAAAAAGAATGTATGTTAACATCTGATAAATATCACGGTTTATGTATGGGGGAGAGTTTGGAAATTTTTTTTAAACAGGATAAGCAGAGCGAGATAGATAGTTAAAGTAATGCTTAAAAGTTTGTGAATCCTTTTGAAACTGTAATATTTCTGCATAAATATGATCTAAAATGTCCTAAGACTAGATGAAGAAAACATAATTAAATAAATGAATCAAAAACATTATACTTGTTCATTTAGGATGGTTGCAGCATCTCGCAGTCACATGATTGCAATTTGTGATCTTTCAGCCAGCTTCCAACAAGCAAAATCAGTTGGGGAGGGCAGATTCTCTTAATGATCATGTGATTTGCTTAATCATGGTCATTTGCTTAACAACCACAGTAAAATGGTTGTCAAATCAAACCTGGTCACGTGATGACTCATCACATAAAGAAATGAAATTCCAGTCCCAATTGAAGTTATTTGAGGACTACTTCTAATAGCAAGTAAGGAACTAACACTATGATGTCTGCAAAGAAAATCTCTTATCTAAAAAGCAGAGAAATACTTATGCGTGGAATCTTTCATGCTTTCTGAGCTTGGTTTTTCACTTACGGACATTTCATTACCTGACTAGATAACATATGTGCACACTGGTGCAATTTTCAAATAAACCATCAAGCTCAGAGGATACTAAGGACTCCACAGTTCAACCCACAGCTAATATATTCACTTCTGTTGGAAAGACATTTAAGATGATGTGATTGTGATGGTTTAGAGAAATGATGAAATACTTGAGTATCTGTTGTTTTTTAAATACATCATTCATTATCATTTTAGAATGAAACCTAACCAAATTCCTCTCTACAGAATTGAAAGAAAGTGATGTGAAGGTAAAGGAAAGTCAGAAGCTAGAAGCTTTACATTTAAAGCGATGCCTCCTTGCAGCTTATTGCAAATTGATCGTCTGTAATATTGTGGACATAACAGCTGGTGCTGAAATCTATAAGCATTATATGAAGGTAATGGCATATTCCCCTTGATGTCTACCAAGCACTATAAAATTAACCTCTGATTTTTTGGTAAATACATGAATGTTATTCAGTTGATGCATGGGTCACAATATAAACATGACTACAGATTTTATGAGGGATCAATTTGATAACTGGAGAAATGTTTATTTTATTCATGAACACTTTTTGTTGTTTCACTCAGAAACAAACCTGCATGGAAAGAAATCTTGCAATTTCTGATAAAGTTTATATGTATTGTAACCATACTATAAGGACCTGCATCCGTTTAGGCTGCATCCATTTTTTATCTGCCTGAGCCTTATACGCTGCCCTGGCTTCATCCAGAACTTTCCTAACAATGGGCCAAATGTTCTGCAACTGGTGTACCCACTCCTTGAGGGAAGGAATGGCAGATTCATTAGCAGGCAATTCAGGCATAGGGAGGAAACTCTGTCCATTAACCACTTGGAAGGGAATGAAGCCGGTGTTGGAATGCATCACATTGTTATAGGCCACTTCAGCAAACGGTAACAAATCAGTCCAGTTATCTTGTTGATAATTAATAAAACATCTAAGGTATTGTTCTAGAACAGAGTTCGTTCATTCTGTCCCCCCATTCGTTTGAGGATGATAACTAGATGACAGTCCTTGATTAGAACCCAGAAAATCCAGAAAGGCTTTTCAGAACTTAGAAGTGAATTGGACACCCCATCCGATATCATACGTCATGGGGCCCCAGGTAGTCGATAGATATGCTGCACAAACAATTTAGCCAAAGTTTTTGCAGTTGGGATCTTCTGACACGGGATAAAATGGGCCTGTTTGGAGAACAAATCAGTAACAACCAAATGTCAGTGTTACCCGCGCTTTTTGGGAGCTCCACAATAAAGTCCATAGAAATCTCTCTCCAGGGTGCTGAAGGGCTCACCACCACCTGTAGGAGCCCTGGCATTTTCCCTTGCCTTCGCTATGCCACTGCATAGGTATGGCAACTAGCTACATAACTCTCAACGTCCTTTTTTAAGGAAGGGCACCAAAATTGTCTTTTAAGTAAGTGGAGAGTTTTCACAAACCCAAAGTGACCCGCTAACTTTGAGTCATGGCACACCTGCTTGATCTATAGTCTCTGGTTCACAGACCCAGGCTAAATCGTCTTGCACTGTACAGAGGTTTTTATGGGCTTGAAACTACTCATTGTTCTCTAGCGCCTTTTTGAACTCCCCAATCACTTTATTATCAATCGGCAGAGAGCTCTTAGTCTGTGCTCTCATCGTGACCGGGGCCGCCAACTGGTGTGGGGAAAATAGAGGCTTAACCGGTCCTGACTTCATACTGTTACATTGCAGCATTCTCGACAAAGCATCTGCTAGAAATTCCCCCCCCCCCCCAGCAAATAGTGGATGGAGAAGTTAAATCGGTGGACGTGCTGGGTCCAGTGGGCCTATTTCGGAGACAGCTTCCTAGGGGTTTTTAGTGCTTCAAGATTCTTATGATCAGTCCAGACCTGAAGAGCGATTTTACTCCCTTCTAAAAAATGCCTCCAAGTTAGGAGGGCCCATCGCACCGAATAAGCTTCCTTCTCCCAAGCAGCCCACCGCTCTTCAGTCTCAATTAATTTTTGGGATGTGTAAGTGCAGGGCTGCAACTGATCCTCTTGGTTCTTCGGAAGCAGTGCCACACCTGCGGCTACATTACTAGCATCAGCTTGAATCACAAATGGTTTTTCTGGGTCCGGGTGCTTCAGCTCTGCGGAAAAAAGTCTCTTTAAGTTTTTTGAATGTGGCTTGACATTCTGCAGTCCATTTTAATGGCTGGCTAGGCTTCCGTTTACTTTCTCTCTTAGTTTTCAACATATTTGTAATGGGGAGCACAATCTATGCAAATGAGGGGATAAATTGTCTGTAAAAGTTGGCAAATCCCAGAAAACCCTGTAACTGTTTCCTGGTGCAGGGAGGGGCCTAATCCAGGACAGCCCATACCTTCTCTGGCTCCATCTCTACCCCATCATGTGAAATGCGGTAGCCCAAATAGTCAATTCTGTCCTTAGGAAATTCACACTTTGAGAGTTTGGCATATAGTTTGGCAGAGCGGAGTTTCTTTAAGACCACTCTAACCAGCTTCACATACTCTGCCTTGGTCTCGATGTAGATTAAAATATCGTCCAAATACACCAAAACCCCCTTATACAGGTGATCATGGAGAACTTCATTAATCAATTACATGAACACCGCTGGTGCCCCCTGTAGTCCAAAAGGGAGCACCCTGAACTGGAAATACCCCAGGGGGCAGTTGAAAGCAGTTTTCCATTCATCCCCTTCCTTGATTTGATATGATAGTAAGTCTCCTGCAGGTGTAACTTTGAAATTTTTTTCCCTTTTGACAGGTGAGCCAGCATGTCTCTCATGAGGGGCAAAGGATACACATTCTCCATTGGCATTGCATTCAAACATTTATAATCAACTCATAGGCGAAGAGACCCATCTTTTTTCTCCTGAAATAGAACCGGGGCTGCCACCTGGGGTCTGGCCAGTTGAATAAAACCGCGGGCTAAGTTTTTGCTGATAAACTTTTGTAGCTCATCTAGCTCCCTGGGGTCATAAAATATAACTTTGGTTTTGGTAGCTTAGCCCCTGGATTGATCTCAATTGCACAGTCTGTAGGTCAGTGAGGGGGAAGCTCATCCAACCTCTTCTCACTGAAAACCTTGGCCAGATCATGGTATTCTCTTGGAATGCTCTGCAGCTCTTGCTCAATCAGTGCTGACGCCAACTCTTGCTTTGACCCCTCTACTTTGCAATCACGCACGCCCTGGGGAGGGATTCTCTTCTTCGGGAACTTTAATCACCCCTCTCTCCAATCGATTAGGGGATTCCACTTCTTTAACCAGGTCAGTCCCAAAACCAGAAGCCATTCCATGCTGGGAGCCATGATGAAGGCTAAAATCTCTGAATGGCCTCCCATGATTAGTCCTAGGGGCTAGGTGGCAAAGCTAGCCTCCTGCTACAGACCCATAGAGCTGGCAAAAAGCAATTGGGTCTTTGAGTCTCCTTAGGGCAGGGGTCGGCAACCTTAAACACTCAAAGAGCCATTTGGACCCGTTTCCCACAGAAAAGAAAACACTGGGAGCCACAAAACCCTTTTGACATCTAAAATGAAGATAACACTACATATATCATTTTTTACCTTTATGCTATGTATAAAAAAACTATAGTGTGTTGCATTTATGAAATCAATGAACTGCTACAAAGAAAACAAATTTTTATTTCTGCATGCAACAAAAACATTTTGAACTCCAAAAAAAAGACGCTGGGTCAAATAAAATACTCAATATCTATTTGAGTCCTCCTCGTATTTATGAAATAAAAAGCCAGTGCAAACTATAAAAACTACAAATAGAAAAATAGAAAAAAAAATTGTGTGGGAAAAAAAGAAAAGGACAGGAGAAAGAGGGAAAAAAACCGTTTCTCCTTCATCCCAACAGGTAGCTTATCTACCATCCTTAAATACAGCATAATTATCCCCATACCTCATCTCTTAATTAAAAAAACATCAAAATGTTTCATTAAACGTTCTTTACTAAAAGTCCAGTAAGGACAACCACATATATTCATATTCTCTCTCTCTCTCTCTCTCTCTCTCTCTCTCTCTCTCTCTCTCTCTCCATCCCTCTCTCCCCCTCCCTCTCACTCCCTCTCCCTCCCTCCCACCCTCTCTCTCCCTCCCTCCCTCCCTCCCTTCCTCCCTTCTTCCCTCCCTCTCCCTCCCTCCCTCTCCCTCTCTGCCCATTCATTAATCCGGTCTGAGTGCCTGCACACGCCCACACGCACGCGCACACATACACAAGTTTTTCTGTCTTGTTCTCGGGATCGAGAGGAGGAGGAACCGGCCCGAACAGAATGGGACAAATGGACACTGCTGCCTTAAGATGCCCCCTGCATCTCAGGCACCCCACCACGACTGACACACTGCGGACATTCTTATTTGGTTGGCTCTCCATTGGCGCTCCTCTCCTGCCCTTGGTCTGCCAGTCCTCTTTCCCACTCAGTGTGTTTGTGTGTGTGAGAGAGAGAGACAGAGACAGAGGCACTTGCGCTTCCCTTCTCTCTCTCCCTCCCCCTCTCTCCCTCCCTCCCTCTCCCTCCCTCCCTCTCTCTCCCTCCCTTTCCCTCCCTCCCTTTTCCTTTCTCCCTCTCTCTCTCTTCAACCATGATCCCCCCTCCCCAGCCAGCCACCCACCATCACCAATCTTCTCCTCACCTGGCCAGCCGGCCTCAAGCTCTTCTCCTCTTCCTCGTCCTCTGCACTCAATCGGCTGCTAGCGGATTGGGTGGCTCTGCTCTGTCCGAGTTGAAGAAAGCGGAGGCACAGCAGAAAGCAGCTTTCTTTAACTCGGATGGAGCAGAGCCACCCAAGCCACTAGTAGCTGATTGAGTGCAGAGGAGGAGGAGGAGAAGAACGTGAGGCCGGCTGCCCAGATGAGAAGATCGGCAATGGTGGCTGGCTGGCTGGGGACAGGGGATCATGGCCGCTTGGGGGACTCTGCAAAGCCTCATGTCAGTGGCATTGGCAGCTCCCCCCACCCAGCCCATTTCCCCAGGTCTGTATAAGCTTGGCAGAACACCCCCCCCCACACTGCACCCCCGATCGGACCCATGCGGCACCTTCTTTCCAGATCCACCACCACAGTCCTCCGTCTCATCTCTTCCTCTGCCGCCATGTGCAGTCCCACTTCTTTTTTTTGTGGGACTGCAAATGGCGGAGGAGGACTGGGAGCCGCAATAGAAGGATGAAAGAGCCGCATGCGGCTCCAGAGCCCTGGGTTGCCGACCTGTGCCTTAGGGGAACTCCCAGTTTCCTGACTAGGTTTGGGCTTATTAGGCATTGGGTGCTCCCTGAGTCCAACTATGCTATGAGGGCATTTTCCTGCCCGTGCCTGAAACTGATAGTTCTATGGGCATGGTGATGGGGTCAATTGGCCCACTTACCAAGGAATCGTCATCGTAGTCACTCTCCGACATCCCTGACTTGTCGCCTAGTAGGGTCAGGGCTCTACCCTCCACCTTTGGAGTTTGGGGGAGCTCCACAACCTTGGTGGTTTTCAGGGCTGTGTCTTTCGAGCGTTGAGCAGGCTTTCTCCCAGAGTGGTGATCCATTTTCTTGGCTGGAGCTTTGCTGCAGCATTCTATAGCACAATGGCATTCCTTGCCACACTTGAAGCAGGTGGTTGATTGCGGCTAGTTTGGGGAGAGTTTACTTGCTTATCCCCTTCTTTCGGGTTGTTTTCATTTTCCTGGTTTCCCGGTGTGGTATTGGTTCCGGGTCTGATCAATTTCCACTTCTTTGACCAGGACGCACCATTCATACAAGCATGCGTTGTACAGGTCGTCATTTAATCCGTCTTGGAAATAGCTTATCAGGATGTCTTTGGGCCAGTTGAGGCAGCATGCTATGTCGCGGAACTCCTCCATATACTTGGCCACCGGTCGACGCCCTTGTCTTACCATTTTTATGCAGTCTCAGGCTTTCTGGTCTGCCAAGCGATCTTCAAACTGGCGCCTCAGTGCTGTCATGAATCAGATAAAGTTCCAGAGCTCAGGAGCACTGCAGTTGTGTAGGGTCACCATCCACCTGGCTGCAGCCCCTTCTAGGGCTAGGGTGATGACTCTAATCTTGGCTGCATCATTGGGCAGGGTCCTCCCATACACTTGCATGTATGTGAGAACGTGAGCCAGGAATCACCCAACTGTTGGGGATCCCCATCAAACTTCATTCCCAGCGGAATCAGTTTCGGCTCATTCACGGGACTCTTATCTCTGGGCTGTCATGGGTCTGGGCTCTCCAGGGGGACTGCTTGCTGCTGAATCGTCAGGGTAGCTGCCACCATCTCCGTTGATCCCTTTGCCTCCCCCATCATCTTGATAATTGTGATTTCTCCTCTGTGCTCAACTTCCCCAGTCAGTTCTTCCTTCTTTTCTGGGTACCCCAAGGATTTAGCCTTTAGGTCCTCAAAAGCTTGCACCATGTACTGCATGGCTCGCTTTAGGATCCTTTCCATCTGGTCCAACTACTTGTCCATCTCTTCATTATCAGAAAGCAGCTTCATCTTTTTTTTCTGAGTCTTTTTTCAGCCTCTCTGGGTGAAGGCTACCCTTTGGGCTCTTTCTTCCCAGTCCTTTGTTCCCGACACCAAGTGACCATCTCGGTTTCGTGGAATCTTCCAGGGCAGCGGTTTCCTCCAGCCAACCTGAGGTGCCTTCTTCAGGGCAGGCCTGGGTAGCCGACTCACTCCAATCCTGGGTCCCGGTTTCTTCATTCTTGCTGCCATTTAGAGACATATCATACACGGCCCCCCATGGTAGGGCACATGCCTGTCCAGGTTGGGCACTATTGCAGATTTTGCTTTATGTAAGGACCTGCCTCAACTAGATCTCTGAAAGAAGCAGAACTCTTGAAACAGGCATTGTTCAAAAGGAACTTTTATTGGGAGTTAGTGATAGCAGGAAGGCAAAGCAAGGTCTGAAGATTTTGCGTGCAAAAGGTTACATCAAAAAGCTCATTCAGGTCTCCTCCACCCAATGTCCAATTGTCCATTTGAAATCCAGCCAATCCATAGGTACTAGGTTGTTTTGAGAACCTAGTGCTTTAGTGCCCTTTTCAAGGTCTCTCTCAGTTTTGTTTCCCAACGGTCCCAGGCGCCATCGTCTGGAGATAAGACACATGTTTTCAAGCCACATTCCTTTCACACGGAGGGAGGGCAAAGCAGAGCAAGGCAAATACATTCCTCCAACCAATCAGCCCCCCTCCCAACAGAATGGCCGGCCCCGAAAAAGAATATGTAGATATAAGCAATAAACTGAAGGCAAATCTATTTGAAGGGTCCTGACACATACCTGTGAAGTAAAACATGCACAGTGTTATAGAAAACCTTTGGCATATGAAAGCCTAGAAACCTGTTATTTTTGAAGGGAAAGCGTACTCCTTATATCCAATATGAATGCTTGAAAAGGGAAACATATTTTTTTGTACAATGGGTGGAGGCAGGGGGGCAAAAGTAAAAAGTGACATCACGTGTGCTACAATGGTGTCATATAAATCAGGGGTCCCCAACCTCTGGGCCATGCAACCAGGCCGTGGAAATGGTGTTTGAGCGCGTACACATACCCCTGCGTGAGCAATGGGTGAGTGTGTGCACGCACACTCCATTTGCGCGAGCGGCAGGCGCATGTGCATGCCACTCGCACAAATGGAGCTGCACAAGAACACTTGTCAGCCACATGTGCGGAACCATCCCCTCTTCCACATCTCCTGGTGGTCCAGAAAGCTGGAAAGGTTCGGAACTCTGATGTAAATGATGCAAATTATATAACTGTGTCCTTTGTCTGGTGATAGCACCGGTTCATGCATCATGACTTCTACTGAAGACTTGTAGATCTTCAGTACAATAGTATTGAGTGGAATATTTTTTTAATCTTTATCCAAACATTGTCAGCCTTTCCTTCTTTACTCTTCTGTGGGTTTTGTGTTGCTTTAAATATGGTTCTAAACATATTTTATTGGCAATGTATTCTAATAAAATTAATTGAATCTGATTTTGAATTAAACAAATTAGCTACTTCACAAATAGAATAAAGTTATGTGCCAAATAACCTAAGGTAGGAAGGCTGTAAATCAAGAGTAGACAATTATATGCCCTCCATATGTTTTGAATTACAACTTCTAGCTCCATAATTGTGCTTTCAAGGGCTGAAGAAAATTAAAATCCAACACATCTGGGTGCAAAATGTTAATTATCCAAATTGTAGACATGAATTTGGACATTGCTGTCTACTTGTCCAGTCATAGGGAAGATTGTGCTGCAAATATTAATAGTATGCAGAAGATTATATGTCTGAAACATTGCCTCAAATGTGAGACAGCTGTTTTGGGCATATCGAAAATGTTCCAACACTGTTCAGACCAAATGTTCTCAACAAGCAACAAGCCAGTTTGAGTTCAAAACACCTGTTTTGAAACAGTTACCTCAAGCTCAGAAAGGTCAGACCTCCTGCTAAGCTAGGAACAATTTCTTTTGTGTATTTCAGATTTGAAATATTTTATGCATCTCTAATATTGCCTATTCCTAGCTGTCAATTAAATGGCATCCTTTTTTTAAAAAAATGGCTTCTTGATTTCCCAGGTTTTCTTTGACATTGTTCCTTGATCTAAGAAACTATGTTCCTCTTTTCCATTTGACAGGCATATAATGACTTTGGAGATATAATTAAAGAGACTTTGAGCCGGACAAGGCACAACAACAAAATTCAAAGTGCAAGAACACTGATCCTCTGCTTACAGCAGGTGAGAATATTCCTCTGGACAGTGTGCTTTCTGTGAGAACAGTTCATTGTTTTGGTAGTGAACTTTAGAAAATATGTTGCATTTAGATCTATTCCTGGTGGTCTACAAAGGAAAGAGCTTCACTTGCAGAAGGTAGCCGGTTTCATGATAGCTAACTGCAATCTTTTTTTTTTATTAAAAGGGGGATTTTTTTTTAAAAAAAGACAATTACTTCTTCCCCTGCATTCATTATAGCTACTAGGTCATGGAAGTCTGCTGCATGCACTTCTGGATCCCATTCTTTTAATCACTTGATTCAGTGATTATCAAATCTTGTAGTCATGCTATTTTAAAATATTGTTGGGAAGTCCTGGTAAGAGGTAGAGAGGATTGATGAAGAGTTCCTCCCTTGGAATGAGACAATGGAGAGATGAGTAAGAGAACTTCTTTAGCTCTCTAACTGTACATAGAATTGCAGAGGGTTGAGTGTTTCTGGGTCAAAAAGACAAGTTTCTTACATAAATTGGAGAAATAGTTAATTTGTATTTAGAGAATTGTAGAAGTAAGTGTGTGAGTTGTGGTTTATGACAGTACAATTCAGATAGTCCTTCACGTACACCCCACGATCACATGACCACATTTGTGGTGCTTAGCAGGAATGAATGTGACCAAGAACTGATGTGAGCTGTGGTTTAAGCCTATTGTAAGAACAGCAAAGCCTCAGTTCTCCATAGGTATAGTGTCTACAGATTCGCAGCTGCCAGGTCTGTTCAGTGTTACCTGGACCTTTGGGGGAAAGATGGATGTGATATAGTGCCTGTCAGCACACCAAGTACATTTGCCAATTTCTTTGTAGATAATGTCACTCCGATTTGCTCTGAGTTAGAAATCAATTTGTAGAGTCCTCAAATAAGGTCTTGTGTGATTATCTAGGATTCTTCTGATTTTATAGAACTCAAGGAACTGGATAGAACTTTCTGGTTTGAACTGATTACTACACATCTTTCCTGGCTCTTTAGGTCTTACAGGAAACAGATATCTATGCTAGGCTGAGTTCACACTCAGCGATGGGGTTGAAATAGAATTAGATGCTCTGGTTGAACACAAATATTGATGGTGAATTACCATTCTTGTTTTTGTTAGATCTTTTGTCAGTGTTTGATACTTTTAATAATGGATAACAAAAGTTGGGATCTGGGGCTCTATTTTACATGGATTCAATTCTTCTATCCGAATGGATAACTTTAGTCAGTAATTATGTACTTGAGTTTGCAGTCACTCTGTAGTGGGAAGCATAAGGTTTGATATTCTCTTTGACATTACCGTCTTGTGTTCAGGAAGATTATGAAAAACCTTTCTTTTTCAACAAATGCTTTGGTCTTTTTGATTGGGATCTTTTCCTTGTACTTCCTCAAGAAATCATGATATGCTGACTTTTGTGGATATATCTATGAATGTTAGACATAATAGACAGAAGGTTCCTTCTTATTGTGCTCTGGTTGACTTATCCATCTGGATGTCAACAATATTCTTACTTGGAGTTTGAAGGTAGCAGTGAAGATGCCTTGGAGAAACTATTTAGAGCCTGGGAAACAAGGAAAGCATTAGAAAGGAATTCAGACTGATTCTTCTGTGACTTCTTGGGATGTTAAGAGGGAAGAAAAGGAAAATGCAGTTAGGCTTGCAAAATTTTATTACAATAGCCTATCTCAATAAAGTGTAGTTCTAATCAACTTGGGGTCTGTTTCCTGATCAATTTTGTAAGGGACCCACTCTCTTAAAAGAGGCAGAGAACCTTACCCTTGTTCATAGAGATGGTATTCAACCTTCAGGGAACCCCATTGTCTCTGTAGCACTTTGCTGTAACTTTATTGCAACACCAACAGGTGATTTACAAATAACTAACCTGCAAATGCCATGATGCAATTAACACAGCGTTTAGGACAAAGTTTATCTCAGTTAGTATAACAACATACAACCCAACTGATGTTTTTGCAGTCTTGTGGAGGTTTGCCAGAGAAATTTTGGAAGAGACCAGGATCAGTTCCTGATCTTTGCATTTTGGAATGAATTGTTTTATGTGAATCAGCCTGCAGAATTTCCTACAGATTGCACCAACATGAATTTATGCTGGTTAGGTGAAATGGGACAGCCATTATTGATAGAAATAATGAATACAGAATTACAGAATAATACAGAAGAATTACCAGAATTTTATGCAAGGATTAGATTCTCCTTAGTGGTTTTTGCAAGGAGGAAATGGGAAGCCATAAGATGTGGAAGCCCAAACAATATCAACATTGTGTGGTGTGTGTGCCTATATGTTTTCTATTATTTACTAGGGATGGGGGTTGGAACGATTTAGTCTGATTGACCAATTTCAACAAGGACTCGCTAATGAGTTGAAATATGAATTTGAGACAAAGAACCTCAGATAATTTGGAGGGCACAGATACAATCTTGAGTGTTAATATTAGGCTGATTGGAAGAGTTGAGAGATTGAAGAAATGGCAAGGGAGGGATTTTCAGACTCTTCATCCCTAGTCGTCCTCCCAATGGTCTCTTCAGAATCCTGCACTAGAGAAATGTGAATGAAGGGATTCAAAGAGAATATACAGTAATGAGTCTTCCATTTGACTGAGATAACTGATTGGCACAAAGGTATAGTAAATATAGAGAGCAGAATTCATAGAAACAAAGGAAAACATGTATGTATGAAGACTATTGGTCCATGGTGTCTTATTTTGCTATTTCATATCACAAATTAAGATTAAACAAACAAAATAAATGGAAAAATGCTCTTTCAAGAAAAACTTATAGGGCAAATATATACTGCTCACAAAAATAAAGGGAACATTTTACCATGGAACTGGAAGGGGTTTGCGTTCCCTTTATTTTTGTGAGCAGTATATTTTGGGAGAAAAGATGATAGCTGGTTGTTCTCTCTCTAATGAGAGAAATTTATGATCTCACAGGCTACAAAACTATTGGGATGACTGCTAGAAACATACTTTCCAAACAAGCTGCACTAAAGGTATTGCTTTAGTTAGACAGTTATCCTATTTAACTGCTCAGAACTAGCTGTGTGAAGCTAATATCTAAGGCAGCCTCCAGGCTTCAAAACATCTCTCTTCAGATGGCCAATATATGACCTCACTGGATTTCACACATGTTATCAAAATGAACTTAAGTTTCATAAGTTATCCCCTGAAATGTGAGATAAGGGGAGGCTTAGCATTCAGTAAGTTGTAAGTTCTGCTCACATAGTCAGCAGTCTGTGTTTACATATTGCATAGGCAACTGGTCCAATTTGGACTGACCTTGAAATAGTGCAGATTAAAATATGATAAACCACCTAACCAATCTTCATGGGGAAACAGAATATGCCTTCTCTTTTGTGTTGTGATATATAGATAGACTGATCTTAGCTGTATAGGTATTTTTTAATTAGGAATTTTTTAATTAACACTGCACAGTACAATAAAATATATAAAGCATAAAAATATAGCAAACCAATAGAAAAGTCTTCCTTATTTGCTTTAATTTGTGTGTCCATAAAGTTTTTGAATTAAATATAACAATCGTTTAGTCTTTGATATGCCTGATCTCTACTGAAAAGAAATTCTATTATTATGGGACACTCCAGAAACTACCTCTGTACATTGTCTTTTCAATATAAGAGTAGATTAATATTTAGGCTTATATACAGGGCTCATTTTTGGTAGACACCCTTGGTAGTTGTCATATGCTGGTCTAAATCCATAATGAAATCTACCTATATTGGTAATTGTATTTCCTTACAGCATAGATTTTTCTTTATGTTTTTATGAACACATGATTGAACACAGGTGGTCCTCGCTTAATTGTTCAGTTACCCTTTGTTCAGTTACCATTTGAACTTAAAACAGTGGTGTAGTACTTATGACTAGTTGTTGAAATTCCAGCCATTGCAGAGCCTCTGCAATCACATGATTACCACCCAGACACTTGGCAACTGGCCTGTATTTCTAACTGTTGCAGTGTCCTATGGTCACATGATCACAATTTGTGACCTTCCCTGCTGGTTTCCCACAAGTAAAGTCAATGGGGAAGTTGGCAGGAAGTCAAAAACTTAGATTACATAAATCTAACAGATTAAAACAATAAAGGGGTATATCAATATAAATTTATCAAATAAGCAGTAACTATTTTAGACAAGTGTTTAATTAAAGTATTAATTAAATAATAAAATGAACTATTTTCAATTAATACAATTTGTAGTGAAAAAGTGGCTGCAAGAGTGCCTAATTATTTTTCAATGTCTCATCCCATCCTGGGCATATGTTTGCATGCTAAAGATGGATTTGCAACTCCAGATTTAACTTGCTACAGATTCCACTTCCAAAGCAAAATTTAAAAAAGAACAATTTTATCAATTATGTTTTATTTATGTATGCTATTCTGTCCTCCACTTTTTAAGGGCATGAATTAAAATTTAATCTGCAATAATGTATGCTGTAATGTAATACAGTAAATAAAAATAGAACATTGTCAAGATTAAAAGAAATATATACTAGTTTTTAAATGAACAATTAAATATTTATCAAGAAGGCTTTATAATCAGCAGTGCATAACTTGAGACAAATGATTGCTCTCTCTGGTACTTATGAGAGAGAATATTTTGTGCTCATTACAAAAACCAGAATCCTTGTTTTAAATGGGAACAAATTTTCTTTGCAGCAAATATTTCAATATATCATGCTAATGATATCTTGTTCTCTTGTTCTCTTTCCTAAACTTCCTGCTCTTGATTCTCCTCTGTGCCATTCACATTCTTGTTCAGCTTGGTGGGATTCTTAAAATATATAATTGGATTATTGTATAAATTGGTATATGCTTGCATCCTGAGCAAGGAATCTGCTGGTTCTATGCCAGGTATGTCCTCCTGGGGATTGTTTTATTGCCTATAAACTTTAAACCAATGTCTATGATCTGCAGCTGTTTCAGGAGCACATTGAAAGCCAAGGTGATGGCAGCAATAGCAGCAATAGCTTGGATTCCTCCTCCACCTCCTTCAACAATATTAAAGAGCTTGCCCGGCGTTTTTCTTTGACATTTGGCTGGGACCAGGTGAAAAGTCGAGAATCTGTAGCTAGGATACACAAGTATGTGCCAATTATATGTTGCCCCTTAGTCTTCTGTTTGAAGGATGTCCATCTTGTAAATATCCTTTCTGTTTCCATTTCTTCCTTACTCCTGTTGAAAGGGAAGGTATTGAATTCGCCTTCCAAGGGGCAGCTGGAATGGAAGGGAAGTGCTTACCTCCTAACTTAAATTTTCTCATCATCCTCAGTGAATTCTCCAATAAGCTTCTAAAGCCTGATAAAAGACTTGTGTAAGTGTTATTTTTAATTTTATATAAAAAAATCAGTGGTGATTGACTGAACACAATCATAGAAAGTTGCACAGAGGTCTCAGAAAAATATATATAATATTCGACAGTTTTGCCCCTGAAATGCTGATGTACTTATATGACATTTTATATTTACAATTTTGTGAAAGTTCAACCATTTAAACATATCTAAATTATTTAATTTTAGAAATCCAGTCATTGTCAAGAATGATGCATTTGCTCTTGTACTATGTGTTTTGTCTAGTGATCTAGCCAGTTTGGCCACTAGGCTAGAAAGCAGAAGACCATGAGTTTAAGTCCTGCCTTAGCCATGAAAGCCATCTGGGTGACTTTGGGCCAGTCACTTCTGTCAACCCAACCCACTCACAAGGTTGTTGTTGAAGGAAAATAGGTGTGTTTGATACGTTTGTTGCCTTGAGTTATTTGGAAAAAATAATAAAGGCAAGACATAAATAATAAATTAATGTATGTGCTGAAAAATTAGTGTAGTTGTGTTTTAGCTTTAATTGATTTTAGTTTTATTTAAACTGTTCATACATACATTTGTGTTTACACTGAACAATTAAGTTTTCCATTGTTTTAGTCTGACCTTTTGGTAACTCTGACAATTATAGATCAATGGAGATGAACATGTTTCAATAATTACTGTATATTTATATGTATTTATACATGCAGAGGAGCATGTGTTGATGAGCAAGTCAGGAAAATTGACGATGTATTTAATGTCTAGGTTAGAATATATAATTAAGCAATTAAATATAATTTGGAACCAGCCACAATACAGTAAGTTTTCTTATTAATTTATATACCACTTTGTTTAAAAAACGCATAATGTTTACAGGGAGAAAAAGCACACACCTTAAAAACAGTGCTATTAAAATTCAGGACAGTTAAATGTCTACAGAGATTCTCAGTCATCCAGGTCATGGTTGTCCCAAAGGTGCTTTTCCAAAGGCAACTGGATTTCCTTGGTTTTTTCCTTGAAAACGTTTTGCTTCTAATCCAAGAAGCTTCTTCAGTGCTAAGTGAATGGTAGGGATTCACGGAAGAAGTTTCTTGGATGAGAAGCGAGGTTGGAGATTTCAAAGATCCTGGAGCACTGAGGAAGTACCAATGATCTGTTGCCACATTTTGGATGAGAAGCGAGGTTGGAGGTTATCACATTTTAAGTTTAATTTAAATGTAATATCATGAGTATTTGTACCTTTTCTGAAAGTATGTTAATTAAAATAGGGAAAAAAGTAATTTAATGGTTTTCTCCCCAATCTTCACATTCAGATATAGTTATTTGCTAAGATATGTACCCGAAACAGCACTTTGTAAAGAAGATACCTGGTACTCACTGGCTTGGTACAGAACTTCTTTGTTGGCTAATGATTATGAGAATTCTGCTGTCAGTAGCTCACAAGAGTGGCCAACTGTTAGCATTACTAGGACATCTTTTAAAAGGAAATTATCTGAAGGTATGACATTTCCAAACTATGTATAAAAAGCTTGCATCTGTATCATAGGATTGATGACATGTCAACATTTTTGATATACACTTCAAGTAGGATGAATTTAAGCCTCAATAATATCTTTATATTGCTACTTCAATGTTCAGTGGGATACATGCCTGAGTGCTGTTAAAGTGTGAAAGATGAAATTGTCTGTTTTAGGATCCTGGTCTAAAATCAGTCACACAGACAGAACAAACAGGACTTCTGAGACTCATTATCCATTCTGCCTGCCTTCCTTGAGACTGAGAAACAGGAAGAGGCTAAAATCTCATGATAGTTATCACCAAGAATATTCCATCCCATTGGATCATGCAATTCCAAAGAAAAAACATAGGTAAGAAGAAGAGTTGTTGGATTAACTTTGATAAACAGGATGGCCATCAAATTTAGTTCATGAGATGCAGTTAAAAGTTGCAGTGTTTTTTTTCTTCAAAATATGTCCAAGATTTTGTGGTGATTTAAACATTATTTGATATTGGGGGCTAATTGAATCTGTGATTTAATCTGACTGTGATTTAAACATTATTTAATATTGGGGGTTAATTGAAACTTAATATCCACAGGCCACAGTCCAAAATATTGTTTAATGTTTTATATAATTCCATCATGGTTTTCAAATTTATGACAACCACTACAATGCTTCCTGTCTTTTTGCTGAATAGAAAGCCATTTTTTAAACTTACAAAGCAGGTTTGATATAAGACATTTTTCCATTCAAAAAAGTTCTATTTAGAAACATTTAAATACATTAGGTTTTTTTAATTATTTTAAAAGGAGTAGAGCTTTGCCGAGTGTATGGACAAAAAAGATATGACATTTAAATGGAGTCTTTGTTGAAGAACATTCAGTGCTGTCATATTCTAAATCAGATTATTGATCCATTTACCTTAATGTTGTCTAGGACAACGGCAACAGCTTTCAAGTTTTCGACAGAAATGAACTTTTTTTGAAAAAGAAACTGATAATGCTAGGGATGAAATTTGGGTCTTACATTAATTTAACTATTGTATTAATTGATTCCTAAATTATTATGATTAAATATTGATTTCTCAGAATTATTATTGTAAAATTAACAAGAACCAAGCAAAGTTGTGATTTCACTTGAAAGACAAGAAACAAATTTTTCTTTTTCTCATTTTAGTACCCAGGCTCCAGTCAAGGAAGAGGATTCAGCAGAGGCTCCACCTGAAAATGCTGAAATTGATGTTGTTGGTGCTGAGCAGGTAAGAATGAGTTTCACGAATGAAGGCGAAAATACGTGTCCCAGGGTGATGTTGCAGGATCCAGTCTGGGTTGGTCACCGAGACCTTGGAGGTTTTGGTCTTCTGAGCTTTCGGACTCGCGCTTGGGCCCCCACCCTTGGGGAGCTTCTCTCTGGCCTCCAGCATAAGTTCGAAAGCTCAGAAGGCAAAACTCTCCGGTCCTGGTGACCGACCCAGACTGGTTTCTGCAAGAGTGATTCTATAGCTTTAAATTATTTTTTTCTTTCACTAATAGAAATAATATATCAATTAACCCCCTTGAAATAATTTGCTTTAGTAATTCTTTTGTTTTACATAAGTTCATTTCCATGATCCCTGTAATAGAATCTTGCCAGATATTAGCACATGAGTGTAAAGGGATGTATTAGATGGCTTGGAATTATCTGGATTAACAGCTTCCTATTATCTTGATCCCACCCTCTCTGACGTTGGAAACAGTAAAAGGGAAATGAAAAAAACCCGGCCATTGCTGATACATCTTATTATCTGTCATTCTTCTGCCCTAGCTGAGCATGGCTTGGGGTTTGGTGCCTTTCCTATGCAGAGCGTCCTTATTTTCTTATTTACAGACTAATATGTTACCTTGGAAATTTTCATAACAAAAAAGTAAATCTCTGGAGCTGTATGTTTTCTCAACAAGTAAGAGGTAAAATGGACTGAATCTAGGGAATTTTAGTCAAAAGAAAATGTAGATTAAATGTGCTATTTGGACCTCATGTAATCTAGTGAGTACAGATTAATAATTAAAATTGTTTTATAAAATAGGAGAGGTTATACATTCCAGAACAGTATCTTATCTACAAGGAATTATAGTAATTGTAAGAGGCTATTGGGGAGCATAATTTAAGAAATTTGTCTGTTAAAACATTATCTTTGTCACTAATTGTCTTAATTTTATATTGTTTAGAATACCTAAAAGAAGAAGACTGCTGGAAATGTCTCTACTTTTTAATGTAAATAAAAATAAAAGCCAATCATAAAGGTAGAATGGGTTTTGAACTATTTTTTGCCAGAATTATTTGGATGCTTGATTGGTAGAACCCAACATGGTCTGGTAAATTTATATAAAATAGAAGCTTCTTCAGCCAGTATTTTCTGATATTTTCACTCACAATTTTTCTAAGCACACTTGACTTTCTGTGCGAAATGTAGTTCCTGACTCTGTAGATTGGAAAAGTCTATCAAGAAGCTGCAGCTCAGTATTTTATGACAAAATGAAAAAGAAGAGGAAACTTTAAATAAGGTAGACAATCTGTTTTCAAGAGAGCAGGCCAGGGGATTCAAAGAGCAAAAATATAGAAATTAATGTAAATCAGAAAAATGTAAATCACAACAAAATGTTCACTCTGCTACCATGTTTATCATCACTGTTTTTTAAAAGGCATTCATTTCTCATTTTTATATTCAGCCGTTTGTAAAATAAACTGAATGATTTGTTCAGCCTGTCTGTATTTCTAAAGCAAGTCATTTTTTCTTATAGTGGGAAAAAATGAAAAAGATAACAGTATTATGGCACTAGGAAACAAATGTCATGGCTATCGCAGTAACCTTGGGTGGGTGAATTGCAATATAGGATGCAAGTATAATTTACATGGGTAGCATTAGTGATAAAAAAAATCTGCATATTTGTTGCTTAATCTATATTCCAGACTACAACAGTCCTAAATATATTGACTATTTTATGACAACACCTTGTTCATAAGTCATGTGATGCTATTGAGAAAAGCATCCTAAAAAGCTATCTTACACCAAGGCAGAGAGCTTGCCCATCTAAAACACCATGCTCTGTGTTTTTCTCATCCTAGAAGCTTTGGCATATGTGAATTTCAACCCACAGTATTGCTAATGCTGAGAATTCTGGGAGTTGAACTTCTGGACATCTGGGAAGTTACCAAGATTGAGAAACACTGTTCTCTGTTGTGATCAACAGTTTCTCAGTATTTCAGATTAGATCCTTTCCCAGGTGTGCCCGAACTGGCCAACTAGCAAAACAGATGTTCTACCACTTAGCTCCAACTTTTTTTGGGGGGGGGGGGACAAATTAGTGTTCTGTCAAGAAGTTATGTTTTGAATAATGAGAATGAAAGGAAATGAGTTTGGAATTTACCTTGTTGCTCAAGTATATTTTTTTTCATTAGCTAACATTGTGGCTATTCATTATTTACAATTCATACTGCACCAACACTCTTGGGACCTGCATTCCTGGAGCTAGAGAGCCTGTCTCTGTTTGCACATTTGACATGAATGAATGAATGAATGAATGAATCAGTAGCATCAAAATATATCTATCACTTGTTTGATAGTAGATTTGCTGTACTGGCTGCTCTATCGAGATAGATAGACCCAGACCTGAAAAACTGCAAATTTTAATGTTTTCCTTTTTTAGTTGATAAGATTGGGATCCAAGCAATATGTTTTTTTCACATATAGCCAAAACTCTGTTCAAATCCTAAAACAATGTTTGATATTGATCATGGTCCACACGAAGGAAAAGAAATTGGTAATTATAGGCAGAGATGCTGCTGTCAAAAACATACCATATTTTAAGACTTATTTTGCAGGAAAAGGCAAGCTATAAATCTATTATAAAAATTATTTCCTGGTTTTCCTTCAGCTTTGTAATGCCATTTTACAGCTCACCTTAAGTTCTACATAGTTGTATGCCGAATTCAAAATCATCACAAGAAAACTTAACAATTCAAAAGGAATACTGTAACACCAAAACTTGTTCTGAAAGAAAAAAATCTTTCAGCCATCCTGATGTTGTGTATAGAGACTGCAAGTCTTCAATAAATTGCACTAATATTGTCATTATATTCAACTATAAAAAGGTGGATTGTAGTTACATAGCTGAATTATCTGTGCTATAGCTTTATCAGAATCATATTTGAATTTGTGAAAATGGATATTTTAGCTTTGTTTGAGGAGTATGGGATTACTGGGAGCTATAATCCCCAATATTGGAAGGCAAACTGAAGTCACTCTGCTGTAGATCACAAAGTATGAAAAATGTGTACAGCTATTAATTAGATTATTCATAGTTGCTATTTAAAAAAAATGATTCTGATATTCAAACCGGAAGTTACTTTCAGTAACATCTGTGATCGGATACATAAAAAAAAAATGCTGAGTTACACGTATGAAAAAAACTTTATTTGAAAATACGAACATGATATTTTAAATATTTAACAGATCTGCACAGCAAACAAGATAGATTTTTGTTTATTGGGAAAACCTAACAGCAAGGATTTGCTTTATCATATTTCATTTCTTGTGTGAACATAAGGATAATTAAGGCACTACAAACGTTATGCTTTTTTAAAAACTAGAATAGCAACATCTATCTTGCCCTATAAGCAGTCTCTCACCTCATATAGGCAAATAAAGCATCAGACTGTTCAGCTACTTTGACACTGTTGGTAACAATATTCATGGAATGTGTCATTAGCCAACCACTGAAGAAACACACTAAATGCCCATACAAGGTTAGTGCACATCACAGATCAAGTAAAACTTACAATTGATTCCCTTGACATGGAATATAATATCCACAACTGTTAAGTGAACAATAAAAGCCAGTTTTTAAATTGGAGTCAGTAGAACAAAATGAATGCTAAAGGGTAGAAAATTACAGCCTGTTTTCAGGCAGGATATTTGCTACATGTACCAGTGTGTATCTAGCTTATCCAGTGATGCTTTACTTGAGTTCTGAACTGCGATCTCCATTCACAATCATGACACTTTTCTCCTTGAATCTTGACAAAGTTAGTTTTAGCTTGGAGACTGCAAGAGCAAGGATTTCCATTATTATAGTGATCAATAAAAAGTTTAGTATTTTGTATAAAAACAAGCCAGTAAATTTACTTTACACAAGATACACTAATCCCTTAAAGGAAGAGTATCTACAAATAATTTAACTATTTTTCCTAGGCAACAATCCATTGAATAAATACATAAAAAGTGTCATTCCATACAAATGTAACCATTTAGATATTTTGAAAATATTAATTTTGCAGCACAAGAAACTCTATTTTACTCTTTTCTGGAGACAAAATTCTACACAGATTTAGCAGACCTGCTGCAGAAACAGTCTTTATACTTCTACAAATATAGTTTATTCAAAATCATCTTCATAGTCATAATCATCCAAGTCAACATCTGCCAAATGGGAAGGCATATCAAACAAAGGTCTTTTTTCCATTTGATATTTTAATATGTTGGTCTTTTGATGTTCATCAGGAATCAGCTCAGCTTCATAACTAAAATGAAAAAGAAATGGGAACAGATTCAGACTGCAGATAGTTCTTGACTTACGGGCAAAATTGGGACCAAAATTTCCATTACAAGTCACTGTAATTGTAAATAGAATGGAACCTTATTTTACAACAATCTGATAGCAGTAATTAAATGTATCATTCTGGTTGTTTAGCAAATTATGTGGTTGTTAAGCGAATCCAGTTTCCCCAGTGGACTGTTGTTTTTTTGCCACAAATCGGCAAAAAACTCCCAAATTGCAACGTGACCATAGGATGCTGCAACTAGGCATAAATGCTAGATGGTTGCCAGGTGCCCAAACTCTGATCATATGACCATGGGGGAGGGTATGTACAGCAGTCATAAGTGCTATATAGGTCGTACGTTTTTTCCAAGGTTGTCATAACTTTAAACCATTGTTAAATGAATGGTTGTCAAGGACTACCTGTATACATATTCATAAAAGTAACTTGTTTATAACATCATATTCCATATTCCATAAACTGAAAAACAGGAAACGGGTAAATCTTACTGTGCACTATTACTTAAAAGAATTTTAAAGACAATGTCAGAATCCAATCATATTTCATATCAAGTTATCAACTATGAAAAACTCCATCCCTGCCTTCCCTGGATTCTGTCATGGATGAAGGGAAGGGGGTGAACAAAGGGGCTTTATGGCCCTCACTTCCTTCAGGATACTTCAAAGGAACTGGATGTGGAATCACCAAAAGGACTAACAATAACAATAGGGGGTCATTAGC